TGGTTAAAAGGCTGTCTCCCATTCGCTACCCTAGAATTACAAAGTTGTCGCTGCTCAGTGCCTACTTTTGAGAAATTTGACTTCTAAAATATTGAGTTTCATGACATGTCAAGCTTTTTCGAATGCAATCCTTTGATTATCTTGATAACGACTCCGAATAATCTTACGATTTTGATAGAGTAGATAGAACATTTTGTTTCTGACCTCATGATCTCAGTAGATCTAACTCAAAAGGGCAAAAAATGTCAGACATAACTTTTTAATTTCTGTTGTAGTGATTTGACTTGGTCTCCTGCGTAGGGGGATGGACATTAATACAGAGGTCTTTGGGAAGGGGGGTTAATAGATAAACTATTTCTATCATGATTTTTTAAACCACGAAAACTGTTTGACGTGACTTGGCTGACACACGACCAGAGCTGTACTCCGACGACGTGAGACTGCGTCATATAATACAATGCGGTGACGCTCTCTGTTCTGTGTCATGTTAGACTAATAGGCCATAGTTTTGTTCCGCCCATCCCATACTGCAACATAAAATGCCATGCTGTACCATGATATTTGCCATATTTGACGCCAATTTAAAAAAAAAATCCCAGTATATGCGTCTTTTCAAATTTTAGAGGAGAGCCCCAAAAAAAGGAGAAAAAAAAGAAGCCAAGACAAACAACCTCAAAACTGAATATTGTTACCAAGAAGACAAGCGCTTTGCAAACACCTCGAGTCAATATTTTAAATTAAGAACACAATTTTAATCATCAGTTCCTTATTATCTTTCAAACAATTAATGTTGTTTTCTTGATCACAACATCAGATTTTTAACTCTCCTGTAAAATTGTTTTAAAAAAAAAAATGCACTTACTGTATTTTTAAATGACGGCAGAGATATCATGACTTACCATACCATACCAGATTATCGCACCGCGCCGTGACGCACCGTCGTGTAGTTTATCTTAATACAGCCTTCCAGAATGTTGCACGCCAAAACGTGTAGATCTAATATGACCTAAAAACATACTCAATAAATCAATAAAAAAAACATGCAATAGTAGATGTAAAACACCTCTGTCCACCAGATTTTAATAGTTTAGGAGGCGGGCTTTGACCCTTGTTACGACCTATTTGAGTTGCAACTGCCGTAAAATGTTTACTAAAAAGAAGGCGGGCTGTGTCAATCCTGTCTGTCATGGCAACCCTTGCTGAAAGGGACACAAAAGTCACATCAGACACTTAATTAAATCATGCCTCCCTAAACGGTAATTGAACTCAGAACTTCTGCATGTAACAGCTAAAACCTTACCGCTACACCACAAACATTGATGCATGTCATACCAGTGACGTGGAGAGAGAGAAAGAGAGAGAGAGAGAGAGAGAGAGAGAGAGAGAGAGAGAGAGAGAGAA